CAAAACCAACCAGACGCCACTGCTGTCATACCCCCCACGTTCCCATCCCGAAGAGTTTGCCCCCCACCTCGCGCCACATCACATGACATGGACGGGATGCGGAAAGGAGAAAAAGAAAAGGGAAAAAGAAAAGGGAAAACGAGGGCAAAGGAAAAGGAAAAGAGAAGACCAAAAAAAAAAAATACCCCCCGAATACTAACACGGACCACGAAAATAGTCTGGTGCCTCGGGGTGGTCAGCGAGCCGACGCCAGGCATTCGCCAACGACCTGTCAATCCCCCAGCTGTGGGCAGTCACGGCGAGTTCCAACCGGTCCAAGGGCGACAGGAGCCCGGATCAGTGGTCGCCTCCGCGGGCGGCGTTCCGTTGCACGTACGCGCGTAGCTGGATCCAAGTCAAGAGCTCCTACAACCTCCGGATCACGAGCGCGGAAAAGACTGCGTTGACCAGCATGCTCAACACTTGCTGAGTGAAGCATGAGAAGAGGGACTGAACTTTTCTCGGTGAATGGTTTGGGACGGGAGGAGTGAGTCCTGAGGATCAAGGGTCGGGTGTCTCGTTTGGAATTCTGTCATTTTCTGTTTTTTTTCGCTTGTTGGTTTCTCAATCCTTTGTAAGCAAAGTTGTATGTTTGTCATTTCTGTCGGATAGTGCATAGACGACTAACTGTGAACGACTTGAAGACAATTGAAGGATTCGTATAACCACACGCTCGGGATGCAAAAGTACTTTGTGAGAAGAAAAAAGGACGCTGGGGAATAACAACCATAACAACCAATAAACCCGACAGATTCGGGCTAGACGGTCCAGGATGACAGGTACAACCAATCGCACTGACTCAACGTTGTGTATGCAATTCAGGTAGGTGTAACCAAAAGTCACTAGCATGGCGTGAATGGGCATCTTCCTATTGGCTCAAGACGATTCCACGTGGGGATATCCAGGAGATATACCCATATATAGACTAGCGAAATCCCCGCATCGGACCTCGCTTGGCCGAGTAATTTCCCCAATCCAAGCAACGTCTCCTACCCCACTTGCCCCTCTTGTGCCCCACTGCCCGACCGCCCTAGCGACTTCACTGGCTTGTTTGTTGCTTTGCCGGAGGAGAGAACAAAGAGCGAGAGCTCTAGGCGGGAAGCAGAGGAAAGGGCACCGGCACGGGGGAGCCACCTGGTACCTGCATTGGCGGGTTTGACCTTATTTGTTATCTCGTTCGTCCAATTGCTCTCTTCTCTTTTTAAGGCGGGTATAAACGTCTAAGCAATCTTGGCGTTTCCAGGGGTAAACACTCTAACCATAGAGACGCTCTAGTAGAGAGTAGAACAAAGCGTGAGCGCCATACCTAAACTTCCCTTGGCCCCGAGTCCACTGTCTGCCCAACGAACTAACAGCAGACTAACAACATGACAGCATCTAGACAGGGCGTACGAAGTAATTATGGGAATACCTAGCGCTACCGGTCGAACGGCTGGGCCGAACGAAACGAATAAAAGAGAAATAATATGCTAATTACTCCGTCCCTTACATAGGTAGAATACTAAGAATACCGATTCACCGTGGTCATTCACCCATTACCCGAACACCGAACCCCCAAGAAGCCAGGCCCCTCCCCTCCACTTCCCTTCCCTTCTGCCCAGACTGCCCGTGCCTTTGACTCCCGGTCATGATGCATCAAATCCTTTCACGGTTCATTCCGCCTTTCCCCTTTACGAGCCCATGCCACACCACAGACACTCGTCGAAGGAGTGGGGGGAAGTGATAGGTTCGGTTGGTAGTCCTTAGACTCCTTACCTTAGACTCCTCTTCCGCCTAGTATAGGTAGTATTAATAGAAAATACCTCTCTCTCTCTCTCTCTCTCTTTGTCTTCCCTCCCTTTCCTGTCTTTTTCTTCCTTCTACGTTTCATTCCTTTCAGATCAGTTGAGGTTATCATCGTCAACACTCAAATAATTGTCTAACTGTGTTGGACGTCCTTTCGCTTTACCGGCCAGCCTTCTAGGCTTCACTCACTCACTTCAGACACACACTCACTTCAAACAGCCCTTGCTCTTCGCTCCAATCTTTCAACTAACTAATTCAACATAATCTGCTTTACGGAATAACAAGAAGAGAAGAAAAAAGAGAAGAAAAAATGGCTTCCATGTTCTCCCTCAAGGCGGCCCTCCTCATGGCCGCCGCCTCCCTGGCCCCCCTAACCAACGCCCAAACCTTCTCGCTCTGCAACCCCGTCAAGGGCGAAGACTGTTCCCCCAACCCCGCCTTCGGCGGCTCGGCCTCCTTCGACTTCACCACCGCCAGCAGCATCGCCGACCTCGAGTCCTTCTGGTCCGTCGACGGCGGCATCGTCTACGGCGACGCCAGCCAAGTCGGCTTCGACTCTTCCACGGGCCTCAAGCTCTCCATCTCGTCCGAGAACCACTCCCCGACCCTGACCTCCAAGAACTACCTCCTCTTCGGCCGCGTCGAGGTCGTGCTCCGCGCCGCCCCCGGCCGCGGCATCGTCACCAGCGTCGTCCTCCAGTCCGACGCCCTCGACGAGGTCGACTGGGAGTTCGTCGGCGCCGACCAGCGCCAGGTCCAGACCAACGTCTTTCGCCTGGGCGTCGAGGACTACACCAACGGCCGGTACCACGCCGTCCGCTCCAACGCCATGTCCGAGTTCCACACCTACGTCCTCGACTGGACCAAGGACTCCCTCGTCTTCTCTGTCGACGGCACCGTCGTCCGCACCATCCTCTCCTCCCACAAGGGTTTCCCCCAGACCCCTTGCCAGGTCAAGCTCGGCACCTGGGTCGGCGGCAAGGGCAACTCCCAGGGCCTCATTGACTGGGCTGGTGGTCTTGTGCAGTGGGGACAGGCTCCCTTTGATGCTTACTACCGTTCCGTCAGCGTTGTCGATTATGGCGCAGGGAATAGCAACGCCGTTTCTTACGAGTACACCAAGTATAAGTCCACCTGGCAGTCCATTAATGTCATTACTGGTGATGCTGAGGAGGATACTCTGCCCGAGGATGACGAGGAGGAGCCCACTCTGCCCGAGGGTGATGAGGAGGAGCCCACTCTGCCCGAGGATGATGAGGAGGAGGATGACGCTACTCTTCCCAATGACGACTCCGACAATGGAAGCCAGACTTCTTCCGTCTTCTCTTCTCCCAGTGCTACTCCCACCGACTCCATCAGCTCTTCTTCCATCCCGTCGCTGAGCTCCTCCATCGATTCTGCTCTCCCTTCTGCTACTTCGCCTCCCGAGGATGAGGACGATGCCGAGGACGGCGACGATACCGAGGATGGCGACGATACCGAAGACGGCGAGGATGAGGATACCGAGGACGGTGACGCTACCGAAGACGGCGATAACACCGATAACACCGAAGACGACGCCGAGGACGCCGAGGACGCCACTCCCGTCACCCCCTGCCCCGTAAACTGCGGCGACAAGGTCAGTCCAATCCCTCCACCCCCCATCCCACACCATACCACACCATCCCCTCCCCATCGTTCCCCCTTTTTTTCTAACACGACCACACAGGACACCACCAGCACCATCGTCGTCCCCGGCAACGGCACCGGCCTCTGGCCCACCGGCGCCCCCACCGCCCCCGTCCCCGCCCCCGTCACCACCGGCGACGACTTTGACGACGGCTTCGGCGACGACAACGACGACGACTTCGTCGAGGCCGCCGCCCCCCGCCTCCAGATGAGCGTCCTTGCTCTCGCCGTCACTTTCCTCGCCTTCCTGTGGTAAAATCCTCCGAAAATCCGTCACAGTCGAACGGGTACCACCGCTCCCCCCCCCCCCCCTTTTTTTAATCATGGGAGAAGGACGGGATGGAGGGAATCTTGTCAATATCTATGAACAGACAACACTCATGTCAATGGTCAATATGAGGGAACATGCGACAATATACGATGTGATCAGACAAGAGGTCATGGATGTTTCTTTGTATGACTACACACACCTGTTTGGGAGGTGGCATTTTCCCTCCGCGTTTAGCTCTGTGTCTTTAACACACTAAATACTCCTGTCATTCTAATTCTGAGTTCCGAGATAGTATTAATGAGTGATGGGAAATAATGTCAACAACTGATTACATTCGTATTATCACGCCCGCCTGAGCCCATGCAATTTCATGTCGGTAATCAATGCTGAAGTGAAGCATCATGCCACTTGTAGTCCAAGGGGTTAGTTTGAGTATCGCCAACCCCTGTCTCTAAATATTCAGACAACCACAGACAGAGATCTAATCGGCTCGACGACGCAGTCCGCTTACGAAAATTTCTTATTATTCAAAGAGGGCACTGGGGATAGTGTCGAGGCAGATGAATACGAACCCGCCTCTGTCCTTTCCTGTAGCCTGCGCACGTCTGTCCACTGGGTATCGTAGGATCCATCCACACACCTCTGCCTTACGGAACAAGCAACATGCCACCCACACACCCCCCGATTAAACTGATCCAAAACCATAACCATCTCTTGTCGCTTATCTATGTATTACGCTCGAGGTTGAGAGCTCTCCTCCGGCTAAACCTGACCCCGGTGCCATGCTTTTTCGCTTTGCTTCATCATCCTAACATTTAAGACAGCAGATCCTACAAAACAGGAAGAGAAGAAAAGAACAGAAAAAAATGAAAAAGAACAGAAAAAAATGAGAAAGAAAAGAAAACCGAGAAAACAAGAGGAGAGAGATGAATGAATGGTAAAGTTGACAAAAAAAAAAGAATATAACCGTCGTTCGTCAAGGCTGCGCCTTCTGATGCGACCTATTCATAGAGCGTGATGCGTCGTAATAAACCCCGCCTCTTACACTTCTACACCCATTCATTATGCGTCGCTGGCGAGGATGAACCCAAGAATCAACCACAGTGTCTGGTCCCCAAAGGACATAAAACGGTTGTCCATGTCGTGGTGTTAGGTTGGCAGTGTCGGCCAGTGTGATCAAGGCTTCAGGGTAACGTCACGTCGCCATGGCCCTCCACCTCCTCATCGCTAAGCTCGCCCCGCGCCGCCCGCTGCGCGAGCTCTCGTTCCGCGTAAATCTCGGCCCGCCGCGCCTCGGCCTGCTGGAGGCAGTCGACGTACGTCCGGAACTTGACGCTCTCCCGGAGCAGGTACGAGCTCTTGCGCTCCCAGTTGGCCATGGCCTTGTTGGCACTATGGCTGCGCGGCGTGAACGCCAGCAGCATCGGGCTCCGCAGCTTGTTGTGCGCCAACAGCTCCTCCTCGATGCCCTTGACATACGCCATGAGCGATGCGAGCTGTTCCCTTTCCGACAGGTTCGATGGCCGCATGCTCTGCGCCGGCGCCGTCCACTCCGAGACGGGAATGCGGTCCCCCGGTAGCTTCCCGCCGCGGCTCGTGTAGGACGGGCTGAAGCCGTAGTCGAACGACGCCGACCGCAGGCTGCGGCTGCTGGACTGCATGCTGCTTCGTCCCTGGGCCGTGACAGCGACAGCACCATTGGCATTGCCGCTGCTGTTGTTCCGGTGGTGCGCGGTCGCCACGCTACCACGGCGAGAGGACCGGGTACTCGGGGGCTGGTTTCCGGTGGACTCGTTAATGGCCGCCACCAGAGCGTTGTTGACGATGGAATCGCTCCATCCGTACTCGACGTTGCTGATACCACCGACCAGAGGATGCGTGCTGAGTCGAGCGCTCCAGTAATTGGCAGTCGTCACGAACTCCTTGCTGATCTCGGGTGTCCCGACCTGGAACAGATGGACGGCGCCCGTGGGTAGGCTGAGCGCCCAGACGTACGGCCGACTGCGGGAGTAACCGGGCGACGGCAGGGCCGAGGCCAGCGTCTGTCGCAGATTAAATGTGGCCAGGTTGGTCGCGTTCTCCTGCCAGTTGCCGCCTCCCACCACGCCCGCTGGGTTAGCCTTGGCCGCATTACGGGCCGCCCGGCTCTTGCGACCGAGCGACTTGTTCGGCGAGAAAGAGAAGAGGCTCATCTGCCCCTTTTGCACGACGGCGAAGACTTCGGTCCAGTTCCTGTCTTTGGCCTTCTTGTCGACGCCGTCGAGATGGTGCTTGTGCGTGACCATGCCCTCTTTCACCCACGGTGGGCCGGACAGCTCGAGCGACTCGTCGTCGAGCAGGGTAGCCTTGGCCTCGTCGCTCATCGCCGACGGTGCCGGGCCGAGACCGTGGCCGTGGCTGCTGCTTGCGTCGTCGCGGATGATGGCTTGACTGAGAGCATTGGCGAATCCAATCGACTGTTGGAATCCACCACCCAGAGCGCTACCACCAAACGAGTCCACCGACATGGACGTTTGCGTACGTCCGAGGGAGTATCGACTCCACGTAGCCGAAGACGACGCCGGACTCCAGAGGGAATTGCCGTCGTCAAAGCTCGTCCGCGACGAGGAAAACCCGGGGTTCGCTAGACGAGGCCTGGACCGGCTTTTGGAAGAGAAGCGTCCCGTGCCGCTTCGCGTGGACTCGGCGATGCAACCGCGAAGGGACGTCTGGCTTTCCGAGGGCGCCTTGCTGAGCACGCTCGGGGACCGCTTCAGCATGCCCATGACCGACAGGCCACCAGGGGGACCCCGCTGAGGTTCGGGGGCCGCGCCGAAAAGGGGCAGCCGTTCGTCACGAATCGAGGCGTAGATGTCCTTCAGGACGAGCTCAACTTGTGCCTCCCACGCGCGAAGAGTTCCATCGAAGGCGACCTTGACGAGAGGACCACAGCTGTCTGTGTCGTGTTCTCTCTCCGCTTCGTCGGTGCTAATATCTCGTCTCGGGGCGGGCCTGAAGGAGAATCGGTTGGATCGCTCTTCGGTCGACCCTCGAGGATTTTCCGTTGCCAGATGCTCGTTCTTCTCGGTCAAAAGACTGGGACGTCTGAAGGCCTTGGGAGCCGCCTCGGTCGCCGCTTGTGTGATGGTGGTCATGGTGTTCCTGACAAACTGACTTCGCGTCATCTTTTGCTCGATATCGGCGATATGCAAGTCGGTGTTGAGGAGCATGATAGAGTAACATATGGTATGCACGACGTCTGCGTCACTTTATGGTTAGTCCCGATCGAAAAAAAAAATCGAGAAAATGGCTGAAGCTGGGATGAAGAGCAAGGTTGGAGGAGAGACAGTTGCCTGAAGCCCAACATACCGGTAGCCTTAAAGCCGTGGTTAGGGTTGCATTCGCACCAGCGCCTGGAAAAAGCGACAAGAATCCGGTCCACCTGCTGGGTCTCGGCCCGGAAGACCAGACGTTCGCAGACCAGACGGAGGCCCTGCACGATGCTCTTGTTGGTGAAGTCGTACAGATCCATGTAGGCACGGAGGGTCCGTTGGCGAATGGGGCCCTCCTCACCCATCCAGGCAGCGGCTTTGTCTTTTTGTATGTAGTCCTCGTGGCCGTCAAAGATCTTCTGAGCCTTCTGACGGTCATCGTCTGTAGGATCGCCCACGACGAAGTCGGGTTCGTCGAACGGCGTCCCTTTGGCTGCCGTACTTGGTGGCGATGCGGAGCTGTCCTCGATATGGACGGTGGGGGTATTCATTTCGGACTGGGCACCCTCGATGGGTAGAACGAGGGTAGACCGTCTCTTGGTGTTCGCGTCTGCCGTCCCGGCCGGGTTCTGGCTCGACATCGACATGCCAGCACCGTTGGTGCTGTTCTTCCTCTGCCCCTTTGGCGATAAGGATGGTGACTCCTCGCCAGAGGGCTCCCCGGTCGGGGTCCTCGCTTTTTCGTTTCTGGACCTGAGATTGTTTCTCCAGTCCGGATCTCCTTCATTATCGTCGGATCCCTCGAGATTAAGGAACGAGTCGCTCCTGTGGCCCGTGGGCTTGGGGATGTTAGGCGGACGGCGCGTTGGGGTCTCTGCCGGGAACTTGTGGTCATGTTGAGATTCGGATTCTCGTTCGAGTTCGCGTTGGGCTTGGCGGTTCATGTCGTGACCATCCCCTTCGTCCCCATCGCGTGACTCGGGCTTAACTTTACGGATACGAGCGTTGGGGCTCGGCTCGTAATCGGGAGAGAAGGAGCGCTTGTATTCACGAGATTCGGGTTCAGGCGTCTCGACCGCTTCCGGTGCCGAGTCGGCGGCGTTCTCGACAGAAGTGTGGAACGGGTGCGGCTCCCCCGCTGGGGTCATCGGACTAGCTTTGAGGTAAGGGTTCATAACCTTTCTCAGGCTGCTCACGGGACTGGGCACGGGTTGGTCGTCTGCCAGCACGTCCTCGTCGGGCAGCAGCTGGAAGCGAGGCTCTATGGGAGGAACGGGCGGTCTGTCGCTGGTGATGACGGGTGTGGCGGGAACGGGTGGTGATTCCTCGGCAAAGGACTTCTTCCGCCTCCTGAAAAACGATGACGGCTTCTTCTGCAGGACGCCATGATGCGAATGGGACGTGGAGTGGTCACGCGAAGGCGGTGTGGACTCTGATTTGGACAGGGTCGCAGTGGCATTGGGCAGGCTGCTGTCGGTACGGACGGCGGCGGGCGGAGGACGCGTCGACGTCGGGTTGTTTGCGGCATTGTTCCGGGAGGAGCCGAAAACTCTCCTAAAAAAGCCAGGCTTATCCTTCGTTTGTGCGACGGGCAGCGTTGGGGGCGAGGAGGCGGCAGGGTGCACGGGCTCCTTTGTCTTCTCGTACCCGACGTGAGGGGCCGGGGCCGAGTCCATGTCGGCAAACACAGGCGCCGGGGATTTCTGAGGCATGGGGTCGTGGGCCATGTTTTTCCGGTATTGGGTTTCGGGTTTGCGGCCCATAGACATGCTCCGTCCCGAGCGAGGCGAGCGTTTGCGATCGGGGGCGGTGGCGGTGGCGGTGGCGGTGGGTGGTCGGGGGACGGGAATCTCGGTAGGCGGCGGGCGGGCAAAGGAAGGATTGGAAGCCGAGGTCGAGAGGGCAGGGATGCGTCGGGGACCGGCGGGGATGGTAGGAGTAGGGGCTGCGTCGTCGTAGTCGTCGGCGAGGAAGGTGTCGGAAAAGTGGGCTGGCCAGTTAGACGTGGGGTGGGCGGTCTGTTGGTGATGGATTTGTTGTTGCTGTCGCGGTTGAGGCAGGGGTAGGGTGGTGGCAGGACGGTGGCCGTAATCGAAACTCGAGGAGCGGTGACCCAAGTCGTGGACCCGGCGCTGGCCTCCCGGAGCGTGGGGGTAGCCGGCGGCGTCGATGCTGTTGACGCTGCTGCTGCCTTTGCTGCCTCTGCCACCACGCGAGTGCAGAGGACGGTGAGGTGAAGCGGGGGAGGACCGATGGGAGGCGTCCCGTAGGCTACTAATGCGAGCGAGGCCGGACGGGAAGTTGGAGCTACTGTTGCTGCGGCGGCCACGCGAGCCCTGGCTGGAGTAACGGCTCGAGTCGTCGGCTATGGGATTGTCGAGGTCGGAGCTGTAGTTGTAGGAGTGGGCGTGGGCGTGGGCGTGGGCGTGGGTGTGACCTCCACGTCGGTCTCGGTCGCGTGAAGCGCTGGCTCGGGGAAGAGGATGATCCGGGCCGTCGAGTTGGTGGGAGGGATTGGCCGAAGGGGAGGCTGGTGGTTGTTGATTGTGGAAAAGGAGAGGGTCGTATTGGAATCGACGGGCGGTAGAAGAAATATCTTGTATGGAAGAGAATTGGTCGAGAGACAGAAGCATATTAGACATAAGAGAATCGCGTGTAACCTGTCTCGCGGGTAGGGACAGGTCGTGGGAGTCCCTGAAAGGGGAAGGGCCGTTTGACTCGTCCGAGGTGGAATAGGCGTTATCGTTTTCCTTGTCGGACATGTCCGGCTCGACAGGCGTAGGCGTAGGTGTTTCTAGGAAGCAATCGTAGGCATGACGGGCGGTTGAGGGAGCGGGCAGGCTGGGGCCCCGGGGGGTGGACTTGTCGGTAGTCGAATTGTTTACCGAGGAGGAGTGGGAAGCCGAATAAGAACCACCGGTGCCAACAGCGGAGATATGGGATGGTAGCGGCGGTTTATTGGAATGGCTGGCGGATCTGTTGTTCGGGGAAGCGAGAGGGAGGATATGGCGTCGTGGATGGGAAGAATACGTGTCGATGTTGAGGTCGGGGCCACGTCGACGGCGTTGATGATTGGCGGCGGTGTTGGCAGCGTTGAGGGTTGTTGGATTGGCAGTGGATGTGCCTGGGCCTGTGCCTGGGCCTGTGCCTGTGCCTGGGCGAGTGCCTGGGCCTGTGCCTGTGCTCGTGCTTCTGCCCGTTCCTGGTATGTTTGTCGCAAAAGTGGAGGAATTTGTTTGTTTCCCCGGTTTGGCCCAGGGTGACGACGAAGACGAGAACGAAGACGGGATGGCGGTGGAAGACGAGGAGGTCGGGGCTGAGGTCGAAGAAGAAGCCAACGGGTTTCGCGTCATTTCATTTGTGCCAGTGCCCAGAACAATGGGCGATGGGTAATGGGCACTGAGCAATGGGGTGCACCGAAATGAAGATCGGAGGGTCTCGGTCTCACTATTGCTCTCTCGTTGCTGCGCTGGTCCGGTGTGGCGTCACACTCGTGCTACCCTTTAGCAAACGGTTCGAAGCTAAAGCAGCTTGGGGGTCGTTCGAGAAGATTGGGCTGGTGGATGGTCGATGGTGGATGGTCTACAAGTACGGGCTGCATGCAGTGGCTTTGCCGAGATATGATATGGGGATATGGGGCATGCAAAGGAAAGGGGACGTGATGGCGAGCATAAAAATCGAGTGGAGAAAAGAAGAGGTTCTGCATTACATAAAAAGGACGGAGAGAAATGCAAAAAGGGCAGATGTGGAAGAGGAAAATTAGGGGAAGTGCAAAGTGGAAGGGGGGAAAGTGCAAGGGAGGTTGAATGGGAATTACCTTTGTACAGTAAGGTAAGGTAGCTTTTTCGAGGATGATATGGCAATGGCAATGCATTAATATAAACGTATTAAGAGAAAACAAAACAAGCAGTACCAAGCACGAAGTCATCACCAAGTCATTAATACTTCGTACAAGGCATAAATCGTAAGATTGGACACGAGTAATTTGCACACGCTGCGACTCGCGTCTTGGGTCTGTGCGAAGGGCCCTCCAACAGGTACGGGTACGTACAACGTAAGGTACCTACAACGTATCCCATAATCAGTCAGGGGCAACTTCTCCCATCTTTCTTTCCATTTCGGAGGACTGAGCGGAAAAGAGAAGGGACTCCCCCGAAGCATTGACCTCTCTTTCTTTCCTTCCAAAGATTATGTGTTTCCCACTCGTCCTTTCCTTATCTCTAACAGTATGTATATATACCTTGGTCGAGCCGGCTAATATGGCGAATCTACCACTTGGTCGAACGCGACGATCATCCGTGGAGAAGTACCTGTACTGCTTTGGCCGCGATAACGCAGGTACCCAGTGTTTCCCTGCATCGTGCCGGAGCCTGCTAAATGCAGGGGGGCGGAGGCAAGCCTGGTAGCGTCTCACCATAAGGTAAGGTAGAGAAGCGGACAGAGAACTTGGCGCGAAATTGTCGCATGGGCACACGGACCACGACGTGGTCCATAGGGGATCCAGGGGGGATCCTGTCGCATTGAATATAAGCACTCAAATGAGCCCTATGTACAAGACATAGGAATTCCCTTTTGGCGTAGTGGTACATTTTGGAGATACGACAGATCCACGCTATGACTAAGGGCTTCGGATATAACAGGGGCGGATACCGGAAAAGACCGGATGGGATCTAAATGACTTAGTACCCATAACAGAGTCTTTACCACCTAAGTTAAGGGCATAAGAGACTTTCCTAGATATAACTTAAGATAATATATACACACGAGATTTCTGCTCTACTAAGTTAATTATTCAAGTGCTATTTAACGTGCGACAGAAATGAAATGCCAAGGTTCAAGCAGGCTTATAGTACCTATGAATAGGTGGTTATAGATAAACTAATATTAAACTCGGAGGCTAAGCTAAGGGTAGGTATAGGGCGAGTAGGGCGAAAAGTTAAGCTAAGGGTAGGTGTAAGGGGTGGTTAGTGCTAGATTAAATAATATACGTGGATACCTTAAGTAAGCGTTAGGCCTTAATAAAGGGGTAGATAATTAAGGGGTAATATAGCGAGAAGATAAATAAATTAAGATAGTGGTGACGTGAAATAGCTAGGAAACGATTCGGAAACGTTTCTAGAGACGGATATTATAAATTTCGATTCGGAAATAGATCCTTAAGGTAAGATTTAGTAATATAACAAGCTACCGGAGCCAGAATATTAAGAAGACGATTTTTATAATCTAAGATTTCTTAAGAATAAGAATCTAAGACTATATTTATATAGACTATACCCGAATCGTCGACCTACGAGAGATATAATCCGAAGGAATAAAGTATAATAGGTATATATCTATTAATTTATACTTTCTAGTTTCTTTTACTAATATAGATTAGATTCTATTAGAAGTCTAAAATAACCTAATCCTAATCTTTACTTCTATTTATACTAATAGTAAACTTACCCTTAGCTTTTAAGCTATAAAAGTTAATAAAATCCTATATATAGCTAGGATACTCGAGATACCTAAAAGCTATATTACGGGTATAGTATTTATTATTCTAGCGGACGTTTTAAGTAATAAGGAGAAAAGTACTTTATAGAAAGTAGTAGGTTATTCCTTTTTTCGTTATCTATATTATAATTATTAACTTAACCTAACATAGATCTAGTATAAGATAGCTTAAAAGTATCCTATATCGCGTATTATAAGCGCTACGCTTAGAGACGCTTTAGTTTTCCATTATATATACCCTTATTAAGGTAGTAAAGCGTGTTAATATCTACCTATAACGGACTTCTATTATAATCGTATTAGTCTATGACTTCTTAATAAAATTAGTTAATAACGCGTAGATATAAAAGACTTTATATTATAGAAAAAGGCTATTAGGTAACTAATTAAAAGATATATAAGTTACCCTTAAGATAAATCACTAATAGGTTTAAGATAGGTATAGGCAGTATAAGTAAGATTTAGTAAAAAGATTACTTATACGAACGCGTAAGATACGTGTATACTAATAGTAGATTTTAGCGGCTACTATATAAGTATTACTATTTAATATATTATATTATTAAAACTATTCCTAATAAATAAAAGTATCTTACGGACTTTTAATAATATCGTGTACGATACTAGTCTTAAACCCTAGCCGACACGATATATTCCTATCTCTTTATTATTATTTTATTAATCTTTTACCCTTACCTAGATCTTATTAAATAGAGTCTAGATCCTATAGTACACGGCGCGCTAATAAATCCCGATAAGATATACTATTTATTCGCGACGAATCGTAGGAAGCGCCGGATATATAGTATATAAATCTAAAAATAGCCTAAAAATAATTCAGGAACGATTCGGGATCTCTCTACTAATTTTTCTAAATAGATAAAGTTTATATTGGAGGTCCTAAGGAAATTTAAATCCGAAAATATAATATTAAGTTTAGATTTTTTATTCTATACGATTTTGATATAACGCTATAGATTATTATAACTTCCTATAGAATATACACTTATCCTCCGCTACCCCCTTTAAAAGCCCCCCCTTTCTATTATTAATAGGATTATAAGAGTCCTTATAAAGATTAAAAATCCGACGATTAAGTTAAACGTATTCCTTAAGTGGAGTAAACTTAAAGAGTTTATCGCCGAATATAAAGGGAAAACTATTATAGATATCTATACTAGTCTTACGAATACCGATTACCTTAAGTATATTATTTATAAGTAGTAGATTATCTTATTTCCTTAGGGTAGTTAAAGTCTTACTTTATTACTCGAGTAGATAAAAAAGGTAAATTAATAATTATTATTATTTATTACGCTGCTCTCGCTTAGCTAAGCTAGGCTAGCCACCTAGGTAATAGTCCTTCTTTAATTTTCGAGGGGAAACCGTTAATGGATAAAAACCCCTACGCTCTTATTATATAAGCAGGTCTATCGTGCGTGGCCGCTACGGTATCGCTCCGCGGCCCTGTTTTTATCGTTATTTAAAAACCGGATCTTACCTCCGGGCTAGTGGCTAACGGGGGTCGGCTAGTTAGTTTAGTAGGTGCCGTGTTAGTCGTACACGCCCTCGGTACACTATCGCTATAGTCTCTCGCCGCCGTCCTTTCCTTTATTCTAGATCCGGCGAGGTTATTCTCCCCTCGCCGCGGTACCCTTTATGCCCTCCCTCCCTTTTATAGGGGGGGGGGGCGCGCCTACCCCTCCCTTACTCCTTCCTTTATTTATTATTTATTCTAAAACTTTCTTTATATACCTATTATTTATAGTGGCCCTTATTTAGTTATATACCTCCTTTATTCGCGCTATATATACTCTCCGGGGAAGGCATTATAGTATAGGCCGGGCGTGGCTGCTATTCCTAGAAGGCGTGGTGACTCGTAAGGCTAATCTGCCGCTCCCTTTTCTTATAACCCTCCCTCTTTTCCTCTTTTTTCCTCCTTTCCTCTTTTCCTCCTTTAAGCTATTATTCTTAAGGTAAGTTTTACGTGGTCGGTGCGATATAGGTACGGCCCTAGAATACCCGTGCGGGATCCCCGGTGCCGTTCGGCTATATAGTAGGGGATCTAATAGGGTCCTGGGTTATGCTATCCTCGCGCCGCCCCCGCTCCACTCCCGTAACGCCCGCCTCGGTCTAA